GTGCAAGTGAGTTACAATTGCATTGGCTTTGGTTTTATCTCTGATTGGATGAAAAAGTGGAGCGAGTTTTTTAAGCCAATCGTGTAGCACAGTTGATGCAAAACCAATTACTTTTCGACACTCAAATGAAAACTGCTCTATCCAGAATAATCAAGATCGAGGTAGGGGTTGTCAGCTGAAACGGAAGGCTGAAGCTGGTAACCCTTACTGAGACGTTGATCATTCTTGATATCACAAAAACCAAATGTAATAATTGATTTATTATACATTGTACAAAAAAAAATGGAAGTAATGTTTTTTCTTCTTCGCTGACAGCAAGCAACACAAAGCACGTGAGCTTGACATGATTACCCCTTACAAATCATGCACCACGGTCATACAAGACATGATTACCCATGACCTTCAGTGTCCTTGACATGATTATTGTATAATCTGCAGCAAGATGACGTCACAGGCGCTGATTTTGAAAATTCACTAAACGCTTTCGGCCAATTAGAAAAGAGATAGTGAGTTCAATGTATAATAATTAATAACACTTTCTTGCAAAAAGACTTTATGATGTAATCTTGTTTATTTTTTGGCTAGATTCACTGTACACTTAGATGGCTATCACCTGCTAGTCAATAATACAATTCATAACAGACTTGGAGATGAAGTTAAACAGCTGCCATCCTTTTCCCAGGAGACACCTGTTGGTTGTGTTCCAAACTTTAGTCCCATATGTGTCATGGCATCCTCAGAAATGTCAAATCACATCATTTACACTTCCTCAGAATTTGAAAAGATGCAAGTTTTGAAGATTCAAGTGAGTACAGCTTTGTTCATGTACACTTACAGGTATTAGAGTGCATGCCTGAATAATTCTCTGGTGCAGCTTTAAAGGCCTTTGTTACTGGCAATATACATGTAAACAATTAAAAGAGTATCATAGACAAAATTAAGCTAGACTGCCAGTTCAACACTGCACTTTTAATAACTTTTAGTTTTACTCATGGATTGCAGTGCAGT